CAGATTACTGTTAAGGTGCAGCTGACCACCCCTGGACTTGCAGATGAAAGTCCTTCCAGACACAAATTATAACTTGGGTTGTGTCTATGGGGGGAAAGATGATTTCTAAAGGAGGGAAGAATGTAATGGATGGGCCGTGGATATCAGCCTCTGTAGCTCAGTTGGTAGAGGACCTGACTAGTGATCCAGGGGTTCTGAGTTCGATTCCAGGTCTGGCCATACATTTTCTCCTTTCAAGAAGTTTTAATCACTTTAACCGAGAAGTTACTGATAAATCTGAATATGCTAGTATATAAGACTAATAGGAATACCAGGTCTTTAAAATCCAGATTCCTATACAAACCAGAAAAACGGTATTTGTAAAAGTGGATATTTACAACTGGGATTCGACCAAAGAGATTGACTTAAACTGGACAAAGAATTGAAACAAACTTTTGAAACGACCATGGCCTTATTTGGAAAATTGGACAAGGTCACTACTAACCTGATTTACTTATATGAACACAGTACGGACAATAGCAGACTAAGTTAAAGATATGTATGCCGTGTTAAACAGTATTTTTGCACAGTTGAAACCGAACAAAAATTTCTGGAGTATGATAAGCTACCAAAAATGAAGCATTCTTGCAAATTCGACGAAATTTTATTCAGTATTAACAAAGTACTGGTCAGGAAAAGAACACGATATTCTCATGCATATTAATAAAGGACTGACGTTTATCCTAGATCTGCGCATGTGCGCGGGAAAAGTGAATATAATTATATTTTTAGTAGTATTCTGGTTTTGGCATTCGGTATATAGTGCAGATTTATACATGATATTCTGTGGAACACTTTTTGTTGTTTTGAGAACTATTAAGAAATGCAGAATCGAATGCATCTAATAACCATTTTTATTGATCAAATTACTAGTATATCATTTGCTTGTATTAGTTATTTCATTTTGGCGCAACATGGTTTCCACACTTTTTTATCCATAGTCGCTGACATCTGTAGAAGTTCACCCAACCGAAAATGTCCATTGAAAAGACAACTGCACGTGATTATTCCTCGGTACAAAAAGAAACCAACTCTGAGGTGCTCTCAATATTGACAATCCCTAACTCACGTGTTTGTAGTAAAAACGTAGTAGACCATCATGCTTTTCGGTTAATTCACGAGATTGGACCATTGTTTGCTGTAAACATGCGAGACAACGTGATCATGAATATTTAAATAAGAGGCGGTTTTTTATCCGACACGGAAAGAAATATCTTTTACTAAATAATATTTCATAACTTTTAAAAGTGATAGAGTGGAATTGTCTTATTTGCAGAAATTATATAACTTACATAACTTGATGAGACACCACATATATTTATTACTTTTAAAATAAAACACTAATACGGCATATATAGCTTTAAGTGATACACAGTAGGTATATAATAAAACTGATTATCAAGTATAGAGAGCTAATTGATTGTCATCTTTTTATACACTTTATGATATTGGGGAATGTAAATAAACTAAAGCAAGAAAAGTTATCAAAAACAAAACCTGCTGCGATAAAGTTTATCCTATGTATTTTGTGCTTACACAACTTATGATGTACATTAATCTTTTAAACAACAAATGTGTAAGGCGTTTTAAAAGTTTTAGTAATACCCCATTCAACTTCTTTGATGCGTTTAAGGATTTTTCTTGCGCAATATAGAACCTGTAAGATAAAGTAATTTTTTCATTACTTCGAAAAGTAAGTAGGCTACAGAGAATTGTTTATTTCACGGTCAGAAGAAGAGTGCTAAATAATTAGTATTTGACATTTTCATTGAAGAGAAATTAATTTGCTGTCACGTGAAAGTTGTTAGATTGAAACCTATGATGTGAGTCAGTCTTTTGGTTTAGATATATATACATGTATTGCTACATTTTACACGAACTTTCGAAGGCTAAATTGTAAAAAAGGGGGTTCGTATGGTTGTAACACCCCAAATGCACGATAGGTGGCGGCAACTAGGTAAGATGCATTTATTTGAATTAAAAATGGAAAGTATTTATTAACAATTAAGTACATATTAACCTCAATAAAAGGCACACTGACATATTCTTATTAAATGATACATAGTGCGTGTTGAAACTTGTATTTCAAGTTGAAATATAATTTTCTATTTGAATAAAGTACGAGTCTATAACATGATTCCATGCTGAGTAAACGTTAAACTTAAACACCCAATATATGTGTATTTATGAATATAAAGGAATTTATGTGATCTAAATTCGCACAAAATTGCGTATTTTTATTAATCACTATTTTGTGTGAATCCCTGGGTCCAGAAGGGATTTTCCGGGTTTTGTACTTAAGAGCCCTCTAGTTACGGCTATTAGCCTTATCCTTATCAAAATATCTTTTGGATCCGAAAATGTGGTTTACAAGATTCACCCACATCAACCCCCTAAATCCTCCATACCTATTGTTATTGTAGAGAATACATGTACTAGTTTTTTTGTATAAGGTTCCTATTATTATTGTTGTAGATAATATACATGCATGTACTTGTTTTCTTTTGTATAAGGTGTGGGAGATTTTAAGGCCCCACCTTTTGCTGCATTCTGAAATTGTAAAATATTGATCTCATTCGGAATTTGTAATTAATGCGCTATACACACATACATACCCTCTTTTTTTAACAAGCTGCAGAACAGAGCTGCAAATTAGCTTCAGGTTCATATGAACCGAATTGTTCATCAGTTTCAGTATTTAAGAGCTCAGAAATATATATATATATATATATATATATATATATATATATATATATATATATATATATATATATATATATATATATATATATATATATATATAATGTACCATCGCTAGTAACTGCACCATTCCAAGCATTCTACTGAATTCCAACGACAGCACCAAACCTCACGCCCCCCACCGCCTAGATCTCCTTTCATTTGAGTCGCCTGTACTTCAATGATTTTAAACAACACTCCCAGCAGAAACAGAATAATAACACCTATTATCTTCATCTAGACAAATAGAAAATTAGTCAAGGTTTAAAACAAATTCAGCATGAAGGCAATAACATTATCAAATTAAAAAAAACACAGACGATGCTGTATTTTAAGTCATAAAGTGCAAGTATAACAAAATTATTTCATCTTTTTATCAATAGCATATCTTCAGAATTATATTAGTAAGTGTCACAAGTGACATTGTGTCAATGTTTGATATTAGCTTATTGTCTTCATTTGGGTATTAGGAGTTATCTTTTTTATTAATGTATACTCGTCGAACCTGTTTGATTAGTTTAGTCAGTTATTTATACTGGGTGTTGGGTATTGTTTGTAAGATGAGGTCTGAACGCCGTGAATTATACTTTACCCATGCTTAGTGATCTACTTTTTAAGAATCAAAATCACGCTACTGTTGAATGTACAGGTATTAAATGCATATATATTTTCATCATTAAGAAAATAATTCATTGAAAAACATGACTGTTTAGTCTTTTTCATTGAAATACCGGGTATAAATAAAAGAAACTGAATTATTCATTTATATTTGTTTTAAGCTTTGAATGAATCGAATTTTATCCCCAAAAGATTTTTAATTCCAGAAATTGGGATTTTAAACCATATTGTAAACATTCGATACAATTGCTTTTTTTTTAAATATTAATTTATTAATATATATTATGCTTAATATTATATTATCTTCCGGTGTTCTTCCTTCGCTTTGAAATGACAATTTTAAAGTCTTCGATTGATATAGATATAACTTTAAATTCTGAAAGCAGTAATACACGTTAGCAGGCTATTGTAACAAGTGTCTTTCTGACACATTTTCTATTTATCAATAAAAAAATGCATGTTTTATTGATTAATAGAAAATGTGTCAGAAAGACACAATGATTCTGTTATGCTCAAGATTACTTACTAATTCGATGTTTCAAAACACAGAAACATCTTTTTCCAATGTTATAGGAAAATTGAGTATAAAAGAAATAGTTCAATTTTGATGAATATTAGGAGGAAATGAGTCATGGATTATTTTGACAATTTGGAAGTACTGTAAACTTTCGGATGTAAAAATCTCATGTACTATGTAAAACTCTCAATCACTTAAACAAGAGAGTGTAAATAAATACTTGGATATTTCATAACATTGTCAATATTACCAAGGGTCAATATCCCACTGGGATATAAACACTTCAGGACACAAGCTATTTAACAGGTTATACTATTAGAATAGCGTCTTCAGTTTATCGACGATTCATTTTGTCTTTTTTAATGACCAATTAAAAGCTGAGTATAAGCTCTTACATTTATAATTTGAAAAAAAAAATCTCGTTGATAAACAGGAAGTATAAAGCATTGTTTTATAATATAGATTAACATCTTAATATTTTGTATTGTTTTGAACATATTTTATTGGCAAGCTAAAGGATAATAAACAAGTTCGAACAATTTAATTACTAGATCTTCTCCTTAAAAACACATAGAACATGATTGTAATCTTAACAAAAAGGTAAAAAAATATAAGTCAATAATAATAAAGTTAATAAGTCTAGCTAAATCTATGAGAATCATTTATAAATTGATGAACAGCGGCAAAAATGGCTATGTTTAAATTTAATTCAAATGAAAGATGTTAGTTGCTCCAGAGCAGTAGGTATACATCTATGGTGTCTAAATCAAGTCGAAAAAATTTTCTTTTTAAATGAAAACAAAAGAAAAGCAAATAAACACTATTGACTGACATTAATTTTCAAATTTGTAGTCATAGAGTAGAGTTGAAATATATTTTTATGGACATATTTGCAAAAAGTAAAGTACATGCACAAATCCCCATAAGATAAGAGAAGATATATCAAAACGCAAGTTTGCCAAATTAATTTTGGGTGAACAAAATTACACCAGTAATAGAACGAAAGAATCCATTTAAAATTTTTTTAATCAAAATTTTCTTGTTTAAACAAGGATGTCATTTTCGACAAATGTCACTATTGATCCAAATGCCTGAATTATCTAATTATGGGTCTTAATATTTTGCCCACTGTATAAAATTTTAAAGAGAACCATTCATGTCTTTAGCAATTTCATTCAATATCTATTCTAGCATTTCTATTGGAAGTATTTTTGGAACGCATTTAAAATTCATCGTCGTATTTTTAAATTCAATCGGCACAATGTACACTGAGATCATTATTTATTTTGAAGTTTGTGCATAATGTGATTATTTATTATGAACTTTGAATCAACCCGGAAGTAACGAAAAATCAAAATCAATTATCAATGAACCTAGTCGTTATAATCATTTAATCTAAACTGACTGTGAAGTATAAATTTGGTGTTTTAGTGTGTTAACAACAGAACGCATATCAGTAGGAATTGACTATGGAAGTTTATCGCTGGTTATTGTTTGTGTATTTGTATTACTTTCAAGGAATATTAATGGCTACGGAAAGTACGTACTTATGTAATGTATGTAAGTGTACCAGATTAAAAAAAGGATTGAAAATAGATTGCAGTGGTCAACTGAAAAAAGAATTTAAAATCACGTCACTTCCGGTGGATACGATGTGGATAGATTTAAGTGAAAATTACATAAAGGAAATTAAGTGGAAATTTCCAAAGAAAATCGAATTCATTAATTTGTCAAGAAACAATATTTCAGCCCTCCTTGGTAAACCTTTCAGTGGACTTAAAAATTTAAGATATTTAAATCTCGAAGAGAATAATCTCACTCTTACGGAATCAGTCTTTTATCCGGACTTGTTTCTTTCACTTCGAAGTTTGGGAACTTTGAATATAAAGAAGAACGCAAAAAATAACGTGAATTCAAATGCCATTGATAGAGCCTTTTCCAGACTTGTTTCTTTGAAAACACTCAAAGTTGACATACCACTTAATTTCACTTTTGGTGAAGGATTTAAAAATCTTCGGAAACTCTCTGTACTTGACGCCTCAGGAATAACAGGTTTTTGCAATATTTGGAGTATATCTGCAGATTTCTTCAAAAACATACCTTTTTTGAAGGAGATCGATATAAGTAAATGCAAAATATCTCATATATCTAAAGGGCCCTTCAAATTGCTCCCACACCTGAAAAAACTCGATATTTCCCATAATAAGGAATTAGGATTTGCCTCTCTCCCAAATGCAACATTTGGCTTGAACGAAACATCAATCCAAGTTTTTTACGCTGACGATATCCATTGTACGCTAGGCATTGGTACAAAGATGAGAATTTCTCATATCGAGAATTTGTGGTTTACAAAACTTGTTGAGGCCTCTTTTGCACAAAATAGGATGGAGTTAATAGGAAAAGGTGTTTTGCCAAACATGCCAACAACGTTGGAAAAACTGTCCTTCGCTTTAAACCGACTCACAACAGGAATATATTTATTTGAATTTTTCTCTCTACGTAACTTGAAGGAATACAACATGACACTACTATTAAAACCGGTTAAATATTTTCCGGAAGTTTTCGAGGAATGCAACGAAAGGAAAGATTTTGAAATATCAGTTGTATCTAGTAAAAATAAATACCATGAATATTTAAACGTACAGAGAAAAAGAGTTTTGACAAATATAACTGTTTACCTCCCTCCAAATCTTGAAACAATTTATGCTAATTCAAGCAAATTATATGGAGGAATTCCAAAAGTAACCTTGAATGCAACAAAATTGAGAAACATCTACGTACAGAATAATTTATTCTTTTCCTGGGATCAACCTGTGTTTGGATTTGATCTTGTGGAAAATGTAGATTTATCAGACAATTTCTGTTCTAGAATATCCCCCCGTTTTACTGCAAGCGGTACAGGATTAAAATACTTAAACATTGCAAGAAACTTTCTGTCTCGACCGATTCAAATGGACAAAAGATGTCAATTGTTTAAATATCAGCGAAAACTTGAAGAATTTGATCTATCAAACAACAGACTTATTCACCTACCAATCTGTACTTTTCAAAATATGGTAAAATTAAGAAAACTAAAACTAAATCACAATAAATTGATCGGCGTTAACTTCAGAATTCATCACATGACTAACCTTTCTTATATAGATCTCTCCGATAACAGATTAACGGGATTTACAAATGAAACAATGCAAGCATTTTCACATATCTTCAAAAAATCTAAATTATTGATAAATCTACAAAGAAACAACTTGTATTGCAGTTGCCAAAATTTAGAATTCTTGACGTGGTTGTATGTAAACAGAATATATTTCTTAAATTTTCAAAAGTATTCTTGTTCTGATCGCAGTAATCAGTTCAACTTTCATTACATGGAACAATCTCTACAAAAACTCCAGCTTGACTGTATGGATTACGACTTTTGGATAATTACAACAACTGTCTCGATAACTCTTGTGACAAGTGTCATACTTGTGATAATCATTCGGAAAAACATCTGGCACATAAGGTATTTCTTGCATAAAAGTAAACGACATAATGACGGTTTTACCTCAAACATAAAAGAAGAGGAACTTTCTAATCTGATAACAGAACCTGATTTGCTGAGTTCAATAGCTGATGAAAGCTTTGAAAGAACCAGTCAATATGGAATGATGCAAGGACAACGGCAATATTTTTACCATGCATTTATTTCCTATGTAGGCGAGAATAGGGGATTCGTATTCCAGAAAATGAAACCAAAGCTGGAGGCAAAAGGTTTGAGGTTATTAATTCGTGATATTCACTTCGAAATTGGTAATTCTAAAATTGATAACATCATGAAAGCAATTGGGAGGAGTCAAAGCACTATCTGTGTTGTGTCGAAAGCGTATCTGAAATCAAAATGGCGAACATATGAATTAAATATGGCAAAAATGGAAGGTTTAAAAGAAAGAGGAACCTTAGGATATGTCCGTCTAATTCTGATGTCTGATTTGTTTGAAGGAGGTTGTGACACAGCTATTAAAGATTTTATCGAGAAAAAATTATTTCTTGACTACCCACCGGAAGATTCCTCCCTGCAGGAGGAATTCTGGGAAAATCTTATCCGCGTTATCAAAAACACGGGGTAAAAATAGGAAGAAAAACTAAAGCGTATTGTGTGGTTCGAACTCCACATCATGATTTGGGGATTGACTGAGTGTTCTACATAAATGGATGATTATTATATGAGCAATTTAAAATATTAAACATTTTACTTTCAGATTAAAACTGATCATATTTGAAAATTTGTAATCCCTGAGTTTTGAAATGAATAACTATTTCATATTATTTATTTTTTGAAATGCAATATAATTTCTGCGAAATTCTTCTTATCTGAGTTCGAATTGTTTTGGGTACAGTATAAGTAGAATTTTTAGCGAGTAATTAATTTTGGCATCATCAGCAAAGGTGCCGAGATAGTTAAAATTGAATATCCGCAAAAATTGATTGCGTGTTATTTGTATGAGCTTCTTTTATGTGCATCTTAAAATCGCTTAAATAACATCTCGATAAAAATAGATAACTAGTTGTTAAGGACAAATCGCTAAATTTGCGTCTCGCTAACATTTCCGGTTATACCGTATCATAATATTGTCTCACGCATTTTAGAATAATTACGTAAATGTCATGTACATTATAAGTGCAAATATAATATAATATTGGACTTCCATCTAGCATTATGATTATAAACATATTTCAAAGATATTAATGTCCACCAAGATATATGCCAATACAATAAATGTTTAATGTATATCTTTGTAGAAAATAAATAAACCCAAGAAGAATATTGATAGTTTTGTTTTTAAGTTTTGATATACAGTATGAAGCAATGTTTAGATGTAAATAAATGAAATCAGCGGAATTTTGTGTGTCAAAATTAAGGCACTTTTCAACTTCATTTACAAAAGTTATTAAAATTTCACATGACTTCAATATTTATTTAGACAAACTGGCTTACCAGAAATCCTGAAATGTCATCCCTTTCGCTTTAATAATGGCACAGATAAAATAGTGAATTTCAACGTTTTTTCTATTTTTTTTAAAAACAGGCAAAGCAATCGTTTTCAAGCTTTCCTGATCATAAACTATTTTGTAAAGGAAGAATTTTGAAACATTTTTGGCAAGATATGTTTTTAAAAAATGTAACCATTAAGCATAACTCGAAAGATTTATGTTAACAATTGTAATACAAGAAGACGGTTAAAAGCAAAGCTCTCTTATGATGTTAACTATATTTCACCAACCGTCGTCTGAAAGCAGCCAAAAAGTTCTATGGCACTTGATATGTAAATTAGTTGTGCCCTCAATCCAGAATTACTGATTTCCCCCAAAACAATTTCCGTAATGTTATTCTACGAGGGTTGTCCCAAAAAGTCGTAGACAATGTTTATAACTTTTTTAACATGCAACCAATACTAACCAAATTTTGCAAAGACATAATACATTAAATGTTCTTTAAAATTGTAAATTCTTAAATATACATCTTTCATATTAGTTATATTGGGACGATTTATATGAAGGCCGATATCGTCTGTCGGCGCACGACCAAATTAGGAATAATTTACACATATAACTATTACATTTGCTTTTATTTCTTTTGTACTAAGTAAAAGATTGGACTAAAATTGAAATCACTAAAACCAGAATCAAAATCTTAATAACATGTCAAAATTTCATATAAATAGCATTAGAAACAGATGACTGATGGCATGATTTTCAAAGTGTTGTCCGAAATGATATTAATGAAAATGACGTCATCGAACGCGTACCTGGCGCACGGAAATGTAATTAATCGTTTTGGTATGTTTTATTTTCAGCAGAGACTGGGAAAAGAGTACAGAAAAGACATTACACGTAGACTATATGTTAATAGAAAATTTGTTTTTTAATAGCATGAGATTCAATAGTTTTTCTTCTATATCGAAAACAAAGTTATTGCATGTAAAGTAGAGTACTGTTTGTTATACGCAGACATTATTTTGGGAACGTTCTGGGCCAGGAACGTCGTCTAACAAGGTGTGTTCTCTGCTGCCTAAAATGTAAGGTGGTCTTTCAACTAATTTAATTTTGATAAAATTTGAATCTGCTTACATGTAAGAAAACGGCGAGTAGTGAATTTAAATAAGTCCCTTAGTCAAGACTGGTTTTTCAATAAACAAAATATTCATTTGGATGTCAATAGCCTCATGGGAAGCACAAAAGGGATCATGACATTATGAGAGACGTAAATTACGCTTGCTTTCGTGCGCCGATGTACACTTATATGGTTTCTTTATTTTTTCATATTTTTCTTATTAAATGTAGTATCCTCATGAAACTTGAAATGCATGATAATAAAATGTTACTTTTTGCTATGACAAGAAAAGAAATTTATTTAGCAAAGAGAAAATAAAACTATGTTCCCTGTCTACGACTTTCTTGGACAACCCTCGTATTCAAGTAATTTAGCCATCAAGCCACTTGGGATAAGGGAAAATAAACTACTCATTCATCAAATTGTACTCTACAGGTAACTGAAGTAAATGCACATACTACTGACAAAATACAACACAGAAAAGTGAACAAATGCAATCGACATACTAGCAAATAAAGTCTACTTTTAAGAATATGGCTCAACAAACCCCCACCCCACCCCCACCCCCCGTCTAACAATAGCTAAGATTTAAGCATTTAAAAATTCTATTAAAAAGACTCCAGAATTACCAACCTTGAATTTTTCGACTGTACTTGTTAAAACAATTCTAGATAGAGTGATTGGTTTTGCTTCAGGCAAGTAGCAGGGTATGGGAATTGTCCCACCCCCTTTTTCAGACTTATCTTATAACTATGGAAAATGTTCATTGAAAGTTGTGTTGACCCCCCCCCCCCCCTTTACTTACACTTTTTGTTACAATTCTAGAGTAGCTAGGGGCAACATGTGACCATAAAAGACACTACAACTTGGCATATATACATGTTTGAAGGAATCATATCGATGAACCTTACGTGAAATGTCGAATTTATTCCCTTGTTTATCTTCTAATTTGTCAGTAGCTTGTTTTGGTTTCTAATTTTAAAATGTATAGTCTATAACTAATGTTGTATGTCGATGAAAGTAGGAGGTACGGAAGATTAATGCAAATACCTAGTGATATTTCGCCATATTTACCGTATAAGTGGAAACTTTAAAGAGACGCAAATTTAGGACTTTTACCTTTGGTTAGAAATTGGTATTTTATTTTTAGCGAGATGTAATTTTAGTGATTTCGAAATGCACACTAAATATTAAGAAATAGGAAATGAAACACTTCATATTTGGTATGCATACTCCACTGATTAAACTCTTTCAAATGACCTTGTGACCTTGACGGTGACCTATATGCTAAACATATTTAATTTCTGCAGACTTTAATCTTCGCCATAACTTTTGAATTAAGAAAGATAGAGACTTAATATTTGGCATGCATACTCCACTAATTAATAGCAATTCTCTGTAACCACTTAAACTTCGTTGCCACGCATGGTCACCGATTTTGATAAAACTTCACCCATGGTTAGTCCTTGACACCAGAAACAAACATCAAACAAAATTTCGTTGCTATGTGTCTCGGTTGCTATGGCAACAGCCGAAAAATCGAGATTTTCAGCCACTTTAAATCTTGACTGTGGCTTAAAAAACTAGAAAAAGCAAACAAACCATTCTCACAAAAACATGACACCTTGATGTCACTTATATTGTAAAGAACTGTTTAGAATATATCTCTTAGTAAGTGGTAACCAATGGTACATTTGGAATACATTTAGAATGTGTAAATATGCTGATAAACACTCCGTATTCACTAATGGTAGGTGTTACATGCTCAAACTCAATCAAGGACGTAAGAAAAACAATGAAAATGTTTGACTTTAAGTATATAAGTGTAAGTAATATTATTCTATAAATAACTTTTATGGTTGCCATGGTAACACAGTATAACCATGCAAAACCAGTAGATAAAATTGGGTTAATGCTACTGTCTTGAGGAAAAACACGAATATTCAAGACTGGCAAATATGCATCCTTAGGACCTTGCTACACAAAAATCATAAGAAAAAGTAGGTATAATTGCTACTTTGTAGTGTTACCATGGAAGCAAAGTACCAGTGCTTTAATGTGAATTATTTTTCGCTGCATTAAGAATTAAATTGCCATTTAATCAAGAAACAAATTAAAGGACTCAGCTTGAATAGTACTTATCTGTTAGAACTGAAGTTGAATATCATATATTGATAAAATTTGATGAATAAAACAAAACTGTTGCTATGGTTACCAAGAAGGGAAAATGTTCGATTTTGTGAACTTTATATCAATATTAAACCCTGTGTGCTAACTTCTTGCATCCACTTAGAGATTGGATGATAGTCAAAATTAAAAGTCAAGTTAGCTGTTAATAAATATCAATCATAAAGTTTTTGGGAATCTACATTTAAGGGTACGTATCCAAGGAAAGAAGATATTTTTCAGGTTTTTAAGCGTATATTTTCTGCTTTTTTCTATAGCACGCTCTATTTAAAGAATCTTATCTGAATTTTTTCAAATGGGAAAATTTAAAACACACCAACATCTTATAAGATTTATCATTAGTTATGAGGAAATGTGCTTTTTTTAAAAAGATAGGATCAGATTTTAACATACTAAGTGTTACTTTGAAGGCTCTCTGTGGTATAAAAACCTTGGCAACCATTGCCAACCAAAATGAAATATCATATTTTGTTCTTGGTATATGTCTCAAGGCTCTTTTTTCTATTATTTGGTCACATTTCATCCTTTAATTGCTTTTTAGTTTTACGTGTATGACTTTATAAATTTCAATGAATATTATTTTTTTACTTTTGATTTCAAATCATTACAGAGAATGGCTCTTAAAAGTTTTCAAAAGGATGCAGAGCAAACAAAAAACTAATCATACAACCATTACGAGGTTACGTTTATATATTTCTGTCCTTGACCTTTTCACAAGGTCATATATCCTCTGATCATTACCTTGACCTTGTATTAATATGAAGTCCCAATGTTGTTCACTTTCAAGGCTACAACCAAAGTAAATTTCTGATGGACAAATAAACAAAAATATCAAAAGCAATATGCCTCTTAATGTAAACTTTAATTTCAGTGAATAAAATTTTCGAACAGAGCCCAAAATCTACTCTACCTAAAGTAAAACTGGCCAATTTTTTTCACAAAATCAACATGTTCCAATCATTATTCAATGATTACAATATCACATTAAGGTCAAGATCTAGTAAATGAAAGGTGCCTACAGATTTATCAAAGTTGAGAAATAAATTCCTTTATTGATGCTTTACAACTTTAGCTTGGTCAAATAAGGTGTTTCGGGGCATAATTTATAGGTAAACAAGATGAAAAACTGTATTTTAAACTGTCATTTTCAATGAAAAATTAAGAAAACCAGTCATGAATATGAGAGTTTTTTTTCGTATTCGGCAAAGGAAATGTATCCAGATTGCCTACAGTCTCTCAGAAAACGGTAATTAGTTTGTTCATAGCCTCATTTTTAAATCAATATTAAATTTAATATAGGTATCCGGCTTACTTTTTATATGATGTCAAATTGAATGACATGAAAATACCCTATTTTCTACATAATTCTGCTAAAGCCGTAAAGTACGGGAAAAAGAAAGTTAAAATTGATTATGACGTCATAATGGATCTAGCACCAAAAAACTAGTCTCAAGTTATTTACTAGATCTTGACCTTAAAGAACAAAATTAACCTGATCCAGTAGAGGGTGAATTTTCCTTCTGTCCAGATTTCTGTAGGGACCATCTCCAAATAAATCCATTGTGAATCACTCCTTCTCAGACCATGTTAACGGTGCCGTTTATCTCAGTTTATTCACGCGTGGTCATCCTGTTCGTCTCACTCACCAATCCTCCATCTCGGCCACTCACAATTCACTGACCCTGGTAAACGAGGAATTTTGTCAGTCTGTATTGATCATAACTAATGCACTGGATTTACGACACTATCAAAATCAGGGGAAAAAATATTTCATGTCTGAAGCTTTAGTCTGGTGGCTCTGTAGCTACCAGGTCCTGATTGTTGTCAATTCAATTACCAAGCTAAATTTGATAGGCGTATTGGAGGTCTAAGTTACTCAATACAAAAACAAACCAGTTTTTATGTACCATCTCAATGAGTTATTATTTTTGAGAACATAAAGCGGTAATTAACTTATAGTAACAAAGTACGAACAATGTCTTGTACTCCGAGAGACAGCGTGTATGGGGAAGCATAAATCATATGCTCTGGGCAGATTCTTTAAAAACGCTATCATCTCCTTAATTAAGTACATTTCTGCTCATCTATCATTGCAACCCTGACCCATTATCGACATGACATGCTTTTAGGATGGTTCCAGTTTATCTTTTTTAAATTACTTTTGGCTCAATAAAACTCCATCAAAACTCAATAAGACTTTGCATAATTTAGCATGAAAATTTCTTCTGCCAACTGCACAACACGACATTGCATCAATCCATGGATCCATTTAAGCTATTTAATAACCTTTTATAAATTTGGTCTTTGAGTAACAATCAATAGTTGTAAATTAACTTACCTGGTTTTACTGCTCATACAAAACACACAAAAAAGCAATCGATAAATTCCTAACACACTTAATTACAATTATCAGATTAATCCAATACACATTAAAAATAATGATTGTTACCACTTCCCGTACTAACTCTCTAGCCTGACACCTAGCACACTGTGGCTCCACGTCTGGAATCGCTTCACCACTGGGCTCCTAAAGACATGATCAGATAGGCCTCTATAATGGCATCTTGATTGTCTTTATCTTCAAACAAATACCTCATGGTTACTTCTCATTAAGATTTGTGTATTGGATGTGATTTATGGGAGGATCAAGCACCCCCTGCAGGTGCCCCTTATAATTAGAGGATAATTGACAAGACAGGGGGCAAAACAAACATCTTCCTGACACTGATACCTTGGAGTAGTTTGGGTGATTTTATCAGTAGCTGACCCACAGCAGACAAACGCACACATGACCTCATCTGAACTCCTGCATGAAACCGATACTCACTAAACTGCCAATTGCCCACAAAATTGCCTTATAACATCTAATTATGTCAATTTGTAGCTTTTATTTCACATGTGGATTGAATTTTTGCAAACCTGAGCACTAAAAATTAGCATGAACTTTTTGTAATCAAATTAAGGAAACATGTATAGTAAATGCATTTCAAAATCAGAAAGCACGTACTTTATAATACAGTTGAATAAAAAATAATAAAACAAGATTTAAATTTTTTTTTTAACATTATATTACCACTTAACTTTCGGCTTCTGTCTATTTTCAGTAATTGACAATTGTAGGTGTAAGAAAAAATGATTGAACTGCCAAAACAATCTTTAAGGATGTATACAGTGTGTAATTGATTTACAGTTTCCTTGTTTTATATATCATTTAGCTGTTTTGTTGTCATTCTGAATTAATAATAAATGTTTATTTGAAAATATATTATGTCTTCATGCAGGCTTTTCAAACTAACATATCTTACACCAGAATCTATGCTGTTTTGATGCCTGTAAACGTGTGGCAGTGGCAGTTTGATTTTTTCCTTTTATTTTTTATATGCTTGTTCACTTCAAACCATCTCTTAAATGTCATAATAAAAAAAGAAAAACGCCCAAGTTTTTGTACAGGAAAAACTTTCTTCCATTAAAAAAAATGCAGAAAATCTTTTCAACATCAGCAGCTCTAATATCCTCTATTAACGGTGAAATACTTGGATATATAGTATGGCAGGAAATAAACCAAGCCTTTACATCAAATAACATAAAGAATTAAACCAGCTCCCTCACTTTCATTGTACATTCACATGGTAAGAAAACCATTTCCTTCCTACATTCCTAAACAAATGCAAGTCATTTTTAGGATTATTAGCAGTATCCCCTCATATTTACTAGAAAGAACTAAGAAAACTATAATTTTTTTTCCAAATGAAATTCAGAATTTTTACTAAATTAAATCTCTTGAAATAGACCACCCTCCCTGATTTTAGGAAACATCTGTTTATATCTTTAGTAGAGAGACACTTAAAACCTACCTGTCAGGTGCTTCCCAATTTTAACTTTCACACAGAACTCCTCCTGACCTGATAACACACTATCCTGCAATGTAAATTCACTCACTATTAATACTGTATCAAAAGTTACACAACTTCCTTCACTTCAGTGCATTGATGCATGGTTCTGTAGAATACAAGAATCAGTTTCAACTGTATGCTATCTCTCCAGCTTTCAACAGTCTGAGAATATTTCAAATAAAAATTTACATTGAAAAGTTCTTAAATACAACCAACTGTTAACAGAGCATCTGTTATGATATGTGTAGGTCTAATAAATGCTAACCCATATCGTTTGGTGCTTTGTTAATTAATTCTACAAATAACGGTACATTTTTCAATTACAACTGCAAGTTATCTTGTAACAAGGAGAATTACGATCTAGCAGTTATTTTGTTTGGTAATGGAGTATAATTTTCTTCACATCTGCTCCAGGGGTTTACCCAGATGCACTTCATTTAAGAAACGAGCATCTTAAAGTTTGAATTCAATTTTGATCTCAACAAATATAAGTTGAGGTGATGAGAAAACTTTATTTACCAGATTTTCTCATCAAAAAGAAATGCACATTTTCAGTTCAAATCTGAAGAATTTAAGTGCAACGGATTAAAACTACAGGAAAGATAGGAGAACTGAGCAAGACATGAGATATATACTGCCTATAAAGTGCATTAAATTTTACATGTACAGTGGAACTTTGGTATCCTGAACACTTATTCCTTTAAATCTATCTTATCCCTGATATCTTGAATACTTGGATATCTTGAAGTTGGTTTGGTTCTATCAAATTTGAGATGACAAGTTTTGACTGTAGATTACAATTACATGTATACACCTACTAGTACTTGGTAAATATTTTCAAACTACTGTACAACCTTTAAATCTAACTTTTAGATATCTTTTGTTCTTCATAGTTTAACATATAAAGTATATAGCCTCAACCAAATCATTTCCATATAAACAATTAACGTACAACCCTTATTCAGTGTCTTTGTTAATCAATGACACACAAATCTAGAAAATGATTATGTATACCAACCTTCTAAATTTTCCAATACCAATAAAAATATCCATTTGTCATCTTCATCACCGGTACAACTAATTCCCTGTAGTCTAAATTCTCAGACACCCTTTCCACTATATAAAGTCTACAAATTAAATCAACATTAACGTGATCAAATTTCACATGTACAGAATTTCTACAAGAATATCTTGTACAAAAGCATATAATGTAAGACTCTGCCAACAGTTTTTGCTTCATTTAATTTTGATACAAAGCAGCATTATGTAATTTTGTTTATATGTGAAATCAATCTTGATTTCAATCTCTAGCTAGCCACCATTTCTCTTTGTTTTATGACCCTAATCCTTGCTAGACTCTGTAATAAAACAGCCAGACAGCCATTGGAGACCTGTTTTCTCAGCTAGACATACTGGAAAATGGCTCAGAATTTTGCATCATTTCCCTAATGTATTTCAATTTTCTATGGCCAGAGACTGTCACATTTATCAAGTATCTGTCATAAATTTAACGTACATGTACTGGAAATTCTGCCATTCAAAATTGACACAGTAATCTCCCTTGAAATCCCTCTTATAGAATCTGTAGGGATAAGAACTACCTAAGACTATGATCATAAGGATTACTTTAGGTACCTTCTAGGATCTGTAAGGATCTTCCAAGCTTTCCTGCAGGATCTGTTGGGATAAGGTTTACTGAGGGTTATCCTGCAGGAACTATAGGCATAAGGATTACTTTAGGCTTCCTTCAGGATTAGTAGGGATAAAGATTACTGAAGGCTATCCTATAGGATCTGTTAGGATAAGAATTATTGTAAGCTATCCTGTAGGATCTGTTAGGATAAGAATTATTGTAGGCTATCCTGTAGGATCTGTTAGGATAAGAATTATTGTAAGCTATCCTATAGGATCTGTTAGGATAAGAATTATTGTAGGCTATCCTGTAGGATCTGTTAGGATAAGAATTATTGTAAGCTATCCTGTAGGACCTGTTAGGATGAGAATTATTGTAGGCTATCCTGTAGGATCTGTTAGGATAAGAATTATTGTAAGCTATCCTGTAGGATCTGTTAGGATAAGAATTATTGTAAGCTATCCTGTAGGATCTGTTAGGATAAGAATTACTGTAAGCTATCCCGCAGGATCTGTAATGACTATGATTCAAATGGGCTATGACTTGGGCTCAGAAGTGATTTAGGTTACTTAAAGCTATTCCGCAAGATACAAGTATGTAAGGATAATGTCTCCTTTAGGCTGTTCAGCAAAGGATCTGTTGGAATAAGAATTACTAGGGACTATGTTGTAGGATTTGCAGGGATAAGGATTTCTTAAGGCCATCCTGCATGATCTATAGGAATGTCACTGGATTCACAGGTGGTGAAAATCCAGTCTCAAACAGGAATCAAACCCAGGGCCTCTGGTGTACTGTGCCAGTACTCTAACCACTGATCTATTGAAGTTAAGTCGATCCTTTGGAATCTGCATGAATAATATTTACTTTAGTATATCCTGTAGGACCTAGTAGGACAAGGATTCCTTAAAATCCTGAAATACTGATGTCTCCTGAAAGAACCTTCTAATCAATTATTTTCTACACATCTGTCTTTAATTAATATACAGGTTATGTATCAACAAGAATACTTAGGCAGCAAGACTGTACTGGCCATTTCTTTTAGATCAAGGGGTCAGTAACTTCCTTAATAATCTGCCATATTGGCTGTCATTCCAGAACATGTAGTAAATGTATTCCTAAAAACAATTAAACATATGTGGAGTTTTTTTTTCTTGCCCAAAGTATCAAATTTATGGAGCTGTTCTAAGACGTTGAAACCTCGGGTAAAGTTTGGGGACCATAAAGGTCTCATTAAAATTGTTTATAATAAAATATAGCAGGTTTGGTTGGCGGGTGTAAAATTTAGCGTTTTGCCTGCTCTAAGGTATGCCAATAATTTTGGCATAATTTATTTTAAAGGACGCAGGGTTTAAGCTTTTTGCAGATGGGCACAAGAGTACTGACTATTTTAGCGATAAAAATTCTAGTGGACTATCATTAAAACACTAAAATAAGCCAAAATTAGAAGCCTGCTAAAATACCCGCTATATGGTATATACACTCCTAAAAAGTCAAGAATTCAGGACAACATTAAACGATGATTTTTTTGGGGGGGGGATTACAGTTGCTCTGGAGAAAAAAAATTCAAACACAACTCAGACAATTAAAAATTATGATAATTAATTTAAAACTGCAAGTTATCAACTAAAATATAAAGAAATCCTACAATATAATTTACAATCAATAAAATATGCATGCATTTTGCACCCCCTATAGTCTACTTACCAATGATTTTTGTGCATATAAACTATTCTCTCTGTAGATAAATCTAAGGCTTCTCACTTTTCTCACAAAGCACTTTCTTACAGATAATAGTTAGCAAGGGTGTGCATCAGACTGCAATATTATACATCATCCAAAATCAATACAGCATCGAAAAATAAATTCCTGCAAGAACTGGCGAAAAATGAAATCTGTGACGGATTTAGAATTAGGCAAAATTTGTTTATATTGCTCCGATAAGTAGCATATTATTCAACAGATGGGCTTTATCCTTTACCAGCAATTAACATTCTACAAGAGTGAATGTATTGACTTCTCTGCTGCTTGACTATACAAGTATTTATGTCAAATCCGTTCTCCCATCTGCAGTGCTATGCTGAATGATCAGCTATCTCTAACTGGTAGACACTTCACAGGGCAAAGTTGTACAATATAGGTCTATTGTTAGTTCTTGACATTTCGTGTTCTTCTTAAAGGAGGTGACCAATTCATTCACAATTTTCAGGGGGCTTTCTGAGTGTCTATTCATAAAGATTTGCTTTTACTTAAAAGTGCTACTACATGCATGTATAAGAAATGAGAAAGCAATACAGAATTGTATGCAAGGACTTGTAACTACCATTAACTGGAAAACTGGACAGTTGTAAGAACAGATGGTTCATAAGCTGGTGACAATATTAGGTATGTTGTTTAAAGTCCCTTCATGAAACTCTCATTAATACAAAATGAGCCAAAAAGTAAGCTACACAGACAAACAAGCATTCACAAACATGACCATTTCATATAGTTCCTGAGATACACTTATTCTCATTATCTACATGCATGCATGTACATACATGTACTGATGTAGTGTTTGCTTTTCATTTACTCTTTTTTTCTCTATTCACTTTGGTCTGTTTTATGTGTTTTGATTTTTCAGTGGTTCATTGGAACAATTTAGAATCTATACTATCCCAGAATGCTTCCACACAAGTTTCAGCTTTTCTGGTCCACTGGTTCTAGAGAAGATTTTGAAAAATATGTCCTATATATTTCAACGTAAAATTTGGATTCCCTAATGTGGCCCTATCTTATCCCCAGGGGTCATGATTTGAACAATTAGTATCTTCACTACCCCAGGATGCCTCCACATATTGTTTCAATTTTTCTGGCCTAGTGGTTCTAGAAAACATTTTTTTAATGGCCCTACCCTATTTTTGCCTTTTCTTTATTATCTCCCCTTGCAGTGGAACTTGGCCCTTTATTTTTACAATGTAAACTCTTCTTCACCCAAGGATACTTTGTACCAAGTTTGGTAAAAATTGGCCCAGTGGTTCTTAAAAGAAGTTGAATATGTCATTGTGAAAAGTTTACAGAAGGATGGGCAGACAGATGGATGGACAAAGAACAATTAGGTATGGTAATCAGAAAAGCTCACTTGAGCTTTCAGCTCCTGGTGAACTAAAAATGAATCCCACCACATGGAATGCTGTGCTAAAATTTTGTTCATCTGTAAGAATAGTTGCTGAAAAAACTTTGATGAAAATTTGTTATGGACAAACACACACATACACACACAGCTAGACAGAGAGACAGACACACAAGGGTAAAACAGTATGCTCCCTCTCCTTCTCTGAAGCAGGGCATAATGGAAAATTTATTACAGACAGACAAACACACATACAGAGCTAGACAGATAGACACACAAGTGTAAAACAGGAAAACTCCCTCTCCTTTGGAGCGGGAGTATAAATATGGAATGTTAACCATTATAAAGCAACAGCAGTAACATGCAGAGGGACAGGCAAACAAACGGACAATTACAACAAGTAAATACATCTCCTCCTAATGATAGATCTGTTTTTGGTGCTACATACACTTAGAAATAGATGTCCATGGGAAACCTTTTCACACTTTATAATAGTATTCAGAAAACAATGCTCCGAAGTCATGCTTATACTGTAACTCTGAATCCTTACCTATCTTGGATACTTCATCCTTAGAGGTTTGTACAGGTGACTATATTACGTAGGTATATCATTCTAACTTCAAAGAATGACACAATCCCCCGCTAGCCTGCCATCTTTTCTCTAGTCTCATCAAGGTGCAGAGGTAAGGCTACTCCAACTAAATCCTTGGTTTCACCACACATACATGTAGGCAGGAGACAGAGGGGTTGTTTGTTAGGCAGTCTATTACAAATATATTAAATATATCCATTACAGCACACAAAGATGCTCTTCTGCTTATGAGTTATTTTTAAAAAATAAATATAATTCATGTTTCATCTTATATATGACTGATGAGTTAATACTTTAAATTCAAAACACATGGAGCTAAAAATACAAATTCATGACTGATTAGTGCAGAAAATCTACACTGAAATGAAAGACATATAATTCATCAAAATATTTACACTTAAATTCACTCTCACTGAGAAGAAATTTAAGTTTCTGTGCTATCTCTGCTAAAACCATAAATTAAATGATGGATTGTAAAAGTAATGCAGGCCCGGCATGATTCACTTAATACAAGGTGCTTCCTGAGCATGGTAAAAAATTTGCAAGGTTTTTTTTATAATGTGGCAGACACACACTCCATAATATCTTCTGATAATAAGTTGATAAATATTTACCTTGTTTTCATATGCATGTGATGAAACCAGAAGTAACTTATAAACATTTTACACATTCTGGTCCCGAGATAAAAGGCAATGTTAGGGTTTAAGGTGGAGGTGAAATAAAAAATTAATCACGCTGACTATAAGAATGAATCACACATTTATTTAACCTAAACTCTATCTCTTTCATGTCAGCTATTTTCCCCTTCATAAAGCCTGCAATCTTTCTTAGTGTTTGATCAATATTTTTGGCTGTACTCATTTTTAACTTAACGTACCAACCCGTGTGCATGGCTACACCTATATCTGCATTTTAATCACTACAATTCAATTGAATGTAAGTTTATTAAGTTCAATTAAAGCTCTAGTACAGCAATTAATCAATAATTATAAATGATAATAAACAATTGTATAATGTATCACTATCACATTTTCTTCTGAATAGGACTTGATTCAAATTCCATATATGGTTTTCTACTCAGTATCCCTGACCGCAAGGGTTGCCTGAATCATCTAACCTTTCTGAGAACAACAGGCCCGTGGGCCACAATGCTCACCTGAGTAACCCCCAGGGATTATGATTTTAACAATTTAGAATCTACACTATACCAGGATGCTTCCACCTAAGTTTCAGCTTTTCTGGCTCATTGGTTCTTGAGAAGAAGATTTTTTAATTTCCTATATATTTCAATGTAAAACTTGGATTCCCTATTGTGGCCCCGCCCTACCCCCAGTGGTCATGATTTTAACAATTATGAAACTAAACCAACCTAGAATGCTTGCATATATGTTTCAGCTTTTCTGGCCCATTAGTTCTTGAAGATTTTTTTTAGCAAATCCACACTAATTTTTTTTTTTTGAAATTATAACTCTTTAAATGGGGAGTGGCCGTTCATTTTAGTATTAAATTTAAACTCCCTTTCATCCAAGGATGCTTTGTA